GTGTATTAATGTGATCATTTACAAATCAACATACCGTCATTGAAGTAATTAATTTTCCCGTCGAATAATTAGACAGAACAGCTAAAAACTGTGAATAAATCATACAATTACATTTAACACAGTACTGACTTAATGCTAAGAAAAAACGTTGCAAATGTGTTTAGAAACTAGGTTGAGCTATTAGTATTAGTAACTGACCACACCCGATTGCCAACACTATGCACCGATAGCAGAATAATCAATTAGCAACAATATTAAAGAGAAAAATATTCTTAGTAGTAGCACGGAGTCTGGAATTGTGTGCCCGGTATATGGCAATAGGCTCACCCCCTATTACATGGGACTCATAACATAAATAGTGAAAAGTGGATGTTACATTGTACAACGGCATATTGTGCACCTCTGCCTACCCCTTCGGGGATAAAAGGCGTGAAGTTATGTTATGTTATGTTATGTTATTAAAGAGAAAAAAAGTAAACCAGATTTGTTTATTTCTCGACAGATGAGAAAACAGTTCTCAGGGATCAATAACATATAAGGCCTTGATGAAATTTCAAAATCAGTAATTTAATATTTGTCCACCTCTAAACGTCTAAATCAGCAATCGATCATGGCTTCATAAAGATATCTTCATCAAATCAGTCCTTTCAACATAACATACAAAACGAAAAAAAACACAGTTGTATCTATTAAATAATATAGTGCTTAACTCGTCGAGTACCGGTTTTATAGACACAATTAAAGAACAATAGGTCGCGGTCACCGGTGACCGCTTGGTGTTTGACAGTTTAATCTACTTTTTGTTATCAACATTTTGCCGAATATTTCCATTTACCAGAGACTTCTTGTAATACGGCGCAACAACTAAAAATATCCTACCTCTATACTCATAAAAACAACACTTTTCTTGAGAATCATAGTTACTACCCCTTAAACTGTCAAACACCACGAGGACACCGGTGACCGCAACCTATTGTTCTTTAATTGTGTCTATAATGACGGTACTCAAAGAGTTAACCTATTGTCTGTCGATATATGAGACACATCTGCGTTCCGACACCACACGGGTTAAAGAACAGCCTAACTTGCAATATCTCACCCAACGCTACGCAAACCCATGCATTATACATAACCCAACGTAGACAATTAATTGAAAACAAAAACCAAATCCTCTCCAGATCATTAAACAGCTAGATAAACACACAATAAACACGATAAAGAAATCATCGAACGAAGAAACAATACATGCATCTATCTAGCCACCGCGGGTGTTGACTGTACCTGCGCACACGCACGCCAACGCCTAATGATCCAGTAATTAAAGCGGTTTTTTCGCTCAGTTTCGAACAATTAGACGCAACGTTTGATACTCTTATCGTGATTGCATTATTACGATAATGTCCGTTATTATTTCTTTTAATTCATTTTGACTTTGATTTGTTCGGTTTGAGGTGGAAAGATGTGTCTCGACCTTGTTGTGATCTTGGCCGATTATCGTTACAGCCCTTACATTACCGATTACCGGAGGCCCAATTATCCCCCTCTCCAGTCTCCGAATCTCCCACAATACTCAAATTCCCAATTCTCAAAAGGTCGGTCACGCATTTGTAACGCCTCTGGTGTTTCAGGTGTCCCTGGGCGACGCCGGTGACCTACGATCAGGTGATCCGTCTGCTCGTTTACCGGCTTATCCCATAATAAGCAAACATGATCACCTAAGGAAGCTAACAAATATTTTTGCAGCTAAGTATCCTAGTGAAATTGGCTAGTATGCAGCACAAGATTGGGCCTTATCTTCACAAAAATTGAGTTGAATTTTATAAACACATGGTTAACAGGAAATATGTAGGCTGTGTGTATTGTAAGAGTACTAGAGAATAAACATTGTCTTAGAAAGTCTTATAAGGATACAAAACCAAAAGCCTGTGACAATCCACTGTCGTTATCTGCCCAGGGCAGGCTAGGTGATTGGAGATCGCAGCTTAAGAAATTCGGGTTCATTAAACAGCGCTGGTGTCTAATATTTGTTTAATGTGTAGTCGCCTAGTCGGCTCTTACGATACGAAAAGTAGGGGTAGGGACAAATAATGTCTCTCCCGGCACCATAGGGTTAACTTGAAATGCCAACATGCAATGCGAGCCTGTCATCCTCAGGCTTCAGTCGTCTCACCAGATTTCTCTTCCATTTTACATTTTTTCCTCGAAAAAATGAATCACCTTCGCCGTTATTAATCGCATAACAAGTCATTTAATATAATTAAAACTTTCTTCATATTGCGTGATAAATAAATAATAATAATAATAATTCACAAATAAATAATTACACAAAAACATTATTAATGTTGCCACAGCGAAATAATTATAAGAATTTCGTAGTTTTTATGCAATAAATGTGAAATTAAATTTTTATTTTCTAACTTTGAAGACTTTTATTAATAGTTAAAACTATTAGCAAGTGGAAAACACGACTTTAAACTAATTACTGTTTCAAAATTAATGAAACTTATGTTGTTCAATTATTTATTTATTTTTAGTTATGATTTATAGACGAAAAGTTATTACACGTTGCTCATAAAAATCTAAGTAATTATATAGTTTTTTATTGAAATAAATATGCTGTTTTTAAAATAAAACATTCGATTACCATAACATACAACGGCGCTTACATTACTTAATATCTACATAGGGGTAGACAGAAGTACACATAATACAATGTAAATAGCTGGTGACCCTATATGCATAAATATCGAGTATAATTTTGGACTCCGTGCCGAGATTGAGAAAAACACTACGATTTTTATTTTTAAAATCAAAAATCTTTAGTGGTTTTGGAATGTTCAGAGGTCAGGGCCTTCAGAAATTTCCAGAATTCAATAATACAATTATTTTTTATATAAATATAACACCTGTTTTTATGTTTGTAGATAAGCAATAAAGAATTGAGTACTAAGCAGGCAATATCTATTCTACTGGTTCCACACTACTCGAGATAGTTTTTTAAATATCTCATGTATTAAGTTCCATATCACCCACCTCAAGTTATGATCCACAAGGCAGTTTTAAAATGCCAGCTTGATATTGAAAACTTATCGTTATATCGAATAAATAATGTTAGCATTACCCTTTAAAAATAATTATAGTATTTGTTGATCACATCTAGTATCAATTAATCATGAGATAAATTATTGGGAGTTGATGTGATCGTCGCCTGAACCTACTTATGTATTTTTCTTAAATAAAAAGTTTCTCCGTGTTAAATATATTGTACACATCTGTCTACCTTCGGCAGATATGCAGCAAAAAGTTTAATAGCGACCTTTTTGTAGTAAATGCTATGTAGTAGATAAAAATACGTAAGTGAATTTGTTTGTATGCTGTCACGCAAAACTACTGAACTATCTTTGATGAGTTTTGGTACAAAGACAAATGCGACGCAAAGAATGATGAGCAAACGAAACAGTAGCCAAAATTGCTATCATTAATTGTTATAACATTCCAAAACACGTGTATGAAGTCTCGAAACAAAAAAAAATTAAAATTAAAAACAAAATATTATTAAACGTCTAAATTATTATACAAATAATGTGATAAAAGCATTTTTTCACAATATCACGATATCTAATTAATACTAAATGTTTTATTATTTACTTTAAGATAACATAAATACTAGGAAATTATTTTATAGCGTTATTTTTAATATATAGAGCAATATGTCAACTTTAATGGGCGAAATCTGTGACGGTACGACCTTTGACCAGATTGATATTAATTATATTAAATTAAACAATGATCGAAATGTTTTCAACTAATATGAACGTTAATTACAACATTATTTTTTGATGTTACACTATCTTTTACGTATTATTATTGGCTTGCTGATATTATTAGGAATTAGGTGATTTGGTAACACCAACTACATAACGAACTTGCTAGAAAAAAGATGAAATATGAACGAACTGACAGAAGTGTTGTAGCATTCATAATAATGTACGCTTAACGACTGATGATATAAGATTATTTAGACAAACGGTGACGGAAAATATCGTGAAGAAACCTGGGCTTATAATTTCTAATTATAAGTTTGAAATCACCAAGCAGCATTGAACAAGCGTGGTGATTAATGGTCTAACCTTCTCCGTGTGAAAAGAGGTTTTGCTCAGCAGTGGACATTTATAGGCTGTGTCAAAATGTTGCCAACTATAAAACGTTTGATCATGACATGTATGTACGAAAAATTTGTACTCGGATTTCGCACCTGCTTTTTTTTTATATCGATCGTTTGAAATACAACCAGTATTTCGACCCATCAAATATATAATTTATAATACCCATCAATATTTCTTTACTGTTCTGCTTCTTTTATGCAATATCGTAATATTTGCTTATAAATATTAGCCATTTTTTGTACTTTATTTATATTAAAAGTCAAAATCAAATTCGTTTATTTCAATTAGAACGACCAGAGAGGCAGTTTTGAAAAAAAAAATTATATGTTCCAGTCTGCCGGTCAGTCCTCTAATGAAGCTATTTACTTGGAAAGGCGTAGATTCCTATGGAGAAGAATAAGCAAGAAACTCGTGTTTATTCATGGCACCCCACTATATGTCTTCTTTAACTTAAGTTTCTATTATAATCATAACATCACGCCTTTTAGTCCCGAAGGGGTAGGCAGAGGTGCACATTACGGCACTTAATGCCACTATACAATGTAACACCCACTTTTCACTATTTATGTTATGAGTCCCATGTAATAGGGGGTGAGCCTATTGCCATATACCGGGCACATTTCCAGACTTCGTGCTACCACTGAGATTTTAAAAAACCCAGTAATACTTTGCCCGACCCGGGAATCGAACCCGAGACCCCTTGCCCGGCAGTCGCACTTGCGACCACTCGGCCAACGAGGCAGTCTAATATAATCTAAAAATCTTCAAATGTTATCTAACCTGTGTTTCTGTAAGGCTAAGGGCCTGTGCTAGTTGCTTCCTCTCAGCACCAACGACGTAGTGGTTCTTCTCAAATGCATGTTCTAACTTCAGGAGCTGTGACGGGGAGAAGGCGGTTCTAATTCGCTTCGGCTTGCGGAACGGCTGAAGGAGGAACCCTGGGATGTCTGGACCTGGTGGACAAAGAGTTAGATCTTAGTATAAGTTGTTTATTTTTTTGTAAAACAAAATGGCTTTGGTGAATTTATTGAAACAGTATTCTTATATGGACTGCACGGTTGGCAGTGGTTGGGCAACTGACTGCAGCGCAACGTGTCGCGGGTTCGATTCCCGCACGGAACAACTGTTTATGTGATCCACAGATCGTTGTTCCGGGTCTGGGTGTCATGTGTATGTGACCTTGTTTGTAAACGCACCCACGACACAGGAGAAAATCCAAGTGTAGAGCAATGTAAAAAAAAGAAATGAGTAAAACATACTGAAAATGTCTTCAGTCGTAAGAAAATCTTAATAGGCGATACAATACATACCATACCATACATACAATACATTATCAGTTACCAACCATAAGACCAAGATATAAGTTCATTTATAAGTTATAGTATGGCTAATTTTGTAATACACTGGAACGAGATCTGATTATATTACTGGTTTTTTATTGAATTATAATTACACGGAAATCTATGTACAAACCAGAATAACTTGACACCCGCCCAAGTCTCTTAAACGATACTACCTCTAGTAGATAATTTATTCTCAATACGTATTGCAATACGGTAGTTGATAACTAGTCAAATTCGATACGTTAATCGATAATAATATATTAAAAACGATACTTTTCCATGAAATAGAAACACATATGACGTCATCAGATTTTTGCGTCAATTAGCACACTTTCTCAGAAAAATCGAAAATAGAATACACCGTCAAATCAGTGAATGACAATGTAATTATTTTTTTAATATTATATTGTAATGAAAGTTGAATGAATTAATGTTTTACGATAGAAACTACCAATTAGATAGTTCTATGACATTAGGTCTTCAACACAAAGTCCCAAGATAAAATGGTCGATCTAAACATTTCTAATACGCGTAAATATAACATTGACAAGTTGGATTGATACAACATAACTTATATGGGCACATTGACATGACAGTTAAGGCAATAAAATTGTCATTATACACTCTTATTGAATGTTAAATATAAAATTCCTTAACATATCTACATAAATAATTCATAAGTTTACAGAATGTAGGCAGCAGTATCTACCGGTGATTGTGGTTTATAATTCTATTATAATATTAAGCGTATTATGAAGTGTCTTTTTCTATGTAAATTTTGTTCAATGACAAAATATATGAATAACCAAAGCGCCCAATAAATGTATTCTTATAAAATTGAACAGTAGCCATTTTTTTAAATTATAACTTTTGGCATTTAACAGCTGTGATTTTAAAATTATACTTTTAAATTGTTTAAAAGTGTACTGAAATGTAATAATAAATAAATAAAATAGAAAAAATTTAACTAGCGTTGGTCACACTGATACAGCAAAAACAATGACATAACCTCAAAAAAATTCCCGCTCAAAATCAAATTTAAACGCGGAACATTATAAAAATCCACACGAACTAACCTAGCAGTGGCGTACGGACTATTAAAATTAAATTAAACAAAGATTACCACTAAACGACGCTGCCCCAGGAGTGTAATCCATCATCCACTTATGTTATTTTACGTACTAAGAAATATGAAGTAATGAAACACCACAAATTATACAGTCAAGCGTTTCTGACTTTACTATGTACACAGCTTCGTGTTGAAATCTAACATTTGTTCGATTTACACAATAATACTTTAGCGTTTGTAAAATACCTATTATTATACGTATTTCTAGTTATTGATCGTAATCATCAGGATGGTAATGTAATTCGCATATTTACACGCTAATGAATGTAGACAAACGATCAGTGCATGTTTTATGGATAAGAAAACCCACCTTCATTGCGACGAAATAAGGATCATAAATATTGACACGTCAACATGTACCGTTCATTATGGTGATGACAAATAGGCGTTTGATTGAGTTAAACAATTCAATAACTTAATGAATACATCATGAGTAAGTTGGCTTCACACAAATGGCTGACAAGAGTTAATAAGACGGCCTCTGACTCAATGTATTAAATCAAATTATCACAAAGGCTTATTAAATTCCTTAGGTACCATGCCCTAAATACTTGTCTAACGTTCTCACTCCCACAATAAGGCCATTCATACCTCCACTACCGGTTTTGAAACTTCCATACAAAAGAGCAATTATATAATTATAATTAAAAAGTGACACGCCCACTCCAAACAATTACTTGTAGATTACCGAACCAATTTAGGGTTCGTATCAAAAATAACATACAGGCTAAAAGCTTCGTCCAACTTGGAACTTTAATAGGCCATTAGTTACAAGGAATATTTTACCCGTGGGTGGTTGCATACGCGTTCCGCACGCAGTGGCCTTGTAGCGACGTTCTGACATTTGCTAATGACATTATAATTGTACACATAACCATTATACAGAGACCTATCTTCAGTTACCCACGATTGCACACACACAATTCCACGATGTACCTTTTTATAATGGATTGCGATTATAACGTATTATTTAAGGTACGATATCAATTACAAGTAACGTCATTGTTGGTCAAGACATTAAAATTGAGATGTTATCGTTTATTTTTATTTATTATTCGTCGGTGAGTTTTAATGAGGAGATTACTTTGTGAACGAGATAAAACTGTCATAATCCAAGGTATTTCGAATTACATTGTCGCGCTTACAATACTATTAATGTCAATGATAAATATGTTGCCTTCGATGAACGCCTCTTATTAATAACTGTAAGTTTATGAAACACGTTTTAAATTTTTCACCGAGTTGAAATTTTTGACAACTTTGTTGTGTACGATTGCGCTCTGTGATAATCGTTTGTGTGACAGCATGAATTACTACATATTTATATTTAATTCCTTTACTTTTGACCTTACGCAACGTGTAACAGCTCTCTTTAATTAGCTGTCGCGTGTAAATGGTTGAATAATAAAATATTTTGTGAGTAAACTTTGAGTACGTAATTGAAATAAAGAACAAAGGGTTATTCAATAGAAGATGGAAACTTCCATAAAGGTTGTATAGTTTTCCGATACGCAAATGGTTATTACTTGAAAGGGATGCCGGAAAATGGGCGAAAATACGAACCGAAAACATTATGTTTGCATAGGAAAAAAAAGACCTTCGAAACCGCTGTTTGAACAACATGGTACGGTAACCAAAATTATCACTTCAACTGATTTTCAATTTTATTATAAAATCATAGAGTTATTATTTCAATAAAGAACTTTTGAAGACACGAATACGAACAAGTTAATTCTATCAAAGAAAATCTAAAAGTCTTCAAACATAAGAAAAAACAACGATCACCAATAGTGATACAAATTAGTCTCATTACCCAACCTGACCTTTACCTACTAAAATGATGACTAAACTATGACAATGATTATAATTAGGGAAGTCGAACAATAGTAGAATGATAATTAAGAATTACGTGTCCCCTGTGGTAGACAGGCACCAATTTATAAACACATTTTGGAGATATAGTTTTAGTTTTTAGTTTATATGAAGTCCTCATATTAAAATTAGAATTGTCATTGTGAACCCTTTTTTATTCAAAGGGGAAAAGCACATATTAATAATGGGAACTGATTTATATTTCTCGTCACTTATAATATGAGTCCCGTGTATCTAAACGAAGCCGAGCCTACTGATCATAATGTTAGATTGTGTTATTTCTCAGAAAATAGAAAATCTCAGTAACATTTTACTCAACCCGCAAAATGAAACCCAAAGACACCCTTTACTTGGGGATTTGATCAACGAGGTTGTCCATTACTCAAATTACTTTGTCAAAATGTCAATTGTTAGCTAAATGGAGCAAAAATTATATCCTAAGATAAAATAATAATAAAATTGTATAACTTTATGACCTATTCAACTGAAGCAAATAGATAAGTAATTACAGACAGGCTGCAGCTCAAGATACTCCTAACTGTCAACATGTTTACAACCTTAACATGTTACAATTAGAGTTTAAAATCTAATAATAAGTGGAGACAGGTTGATGTGCTGTAGTACTGAACCATGTACTTCCATAGGTATTACCCAGATATTAAATATTTAACGACTGTAATCGATAGATAAGAATAGATAATGTATAAACGTGGCAAAAAGAAAATTTTAATGGCATTACATTAGACATCTGTTTCATTCTACTATGTATTGGATAATAAAGACACCATTACACATGAAGGTTATTATATAAACTTACATACAAATAAACTGCGGCTGTGGATTGCCTTGCTGCCTTGCTGGTTACCGGGGCTCTGAGTCGAAGTAGAAGTAGAAACAGCGTGGTTTTGTGTAAAAGCCTGACACTCCCTTTTGCCTCACTCAAGGTAAGAGGAGTCATTGGATGATATTCACCCTTCAAAGCCATAGTAAATGAAGCATAGATTTGCTGAACCCTTACTGAGTTCTTTGTCTGATCCAGAAATGAACTGGAGATCCCAGGCACTCAGTTGGAGTTTAATTTTTGGTATTCAAACTTTTAGCATAGAATAGCCTAGAATTTTGTTATGCCCCCTGTACATTAAGCAATAAACACACCTCTTATTAAATTGTACTCATCAACCCTGACATGAGAAGTAAAATGTCAGCATCATAATAAAACTACCTCTGTATCCGCCTACAAAGAATAAAATGGACTATGAAAACTTAAAAATAGGTTGCATTACTCCCATATAACTAAAAATACCAACATCAAAGCACTAACACGACTAAATAATGACAATTTAATTACTTACTACGTTTATGTCAACGCAAATGTGTCTTTTGCGTGATATCACACAGGTTTTGCAAAAGTAACGCAATTTATTAAAATAATCTGTTTTCACACTAGTCTTTAAGTTCGCTTGTGACTTATTAGTAGCTATTAGTTGGGATCTGATAAAATACCCTATAAAACTATGGAGGCAGGGCCGTATTACTCGTAAGGCAAAGTCGGCAAGTGCCAAGGGCGCCAGTTTACAAAAGGGCGCCACGACGCCGGCGTGCTCAACAG